TCTTAGATACTAAGTATTTGAAAATATTTCAAAAGATTCCGTACTCTTGCGAACACTTCAAACTAAAGTAAGTGCGAGAGGAAAGATTACTTACATATCCGTAAAAACTTCCTGCGACTTCCATCAAATCCAGTGGGACAGTCACACCGGCGAGTACCAAGTAAGTTAAAACACGTGCCTCGCCCGCAAGGTTGTTTATAGGCGCACGTGTTGCCCATTGCTTTACATTTAGCACTGGTTCCGTTGTTGTACAATGGCTGACTGAGGTCCAAGAACTTGTGATCGATGTAAACATTTCTGATGCAGCCAGTAAAATGTTTGTAGGGCACTGGGAATTTAATTGGTAGCGGCACGAGCCCACCGAGAAGAAGAGGGCCTGTCAAATGCAAGGGGCTAAAAAAAAAAAAAAAAGGATCACAGTGTTACTATTTACAGTTCGCTTTTAATTACAAACACGAAAACATTCCATACACGATTTTGTAAATTTAAAAAGTAAGTAGATATCTAGAATTGTGTATAGGTCAAGTACTGCAAAAAGTGTACACTTGTGATCAAAGCGCACTGTTCAGGAAGTTCTAGCCCTCAAGATTACAGTTAGCCCTTTGACTCCCAGAAATGAGAGCTCCAACAGCAGTTTGACATAAGTAATCTGACAAAAAAATCACTGCTTGGGGTCAAGAACTCGTCAAAAACATCTTACAATAAAGGTCACCCACTATACTAAAATTGTTGCATATATTGACCCGCTAATAAATACCTAAAGCTCTGATGATGATGATGATAATTAATAATAACAATAATAATAACAATTAATTATAACAATAATAACACTATTAACAGTTCGTATGATATATTTCTCTATTCTCAATTTGCTTACAAATTTTAGAAATAATTAATTCAAACAAATTGGAAATAAACATAGTAAATAAACGTCAACACAGTTTTTAAGAACCTCAACTAGTAAAAGGCAGACAAATTGGCTTTAAACAGAGCAAAGCCAACGAGTGGAACTCAGTGCAACTGAAAACAAATCCAGTGAGTAGCAAAGTGGAGAACTACAACCTGGGACCACCGGATGACAAGTCCCTAAGCACTTGGCAAGTCCCTAAGCAGGTGGCCAGTGCCCTAAGTACTCAGCCACTCTGCCTCCTCCAAGGGTCTTTCTTGATGGTGTGCATTTATATAATTATTATTATATTACATATTATTTTCGTATAAGGACCAAACTTTGTGCCCGCATGTAATTTGACATGATTTCTTATATACCAAGACGCGTTTTGAAGGCTTGAAGTTGCTTTATTTTTCGCTTTTTGCAACAAGCGTTTGAGAGTACTTTGTTAAAAAATCATGTAAATTTTAAAATTACACCAAAGCTCCTAAAAGTGCCACAAATAAAAATCAAATGAATTATATTTTGAAGTAAAAACACCACCGTAAAATCTTACGAAAAATCTTCCTTCAGCACTAGCACATTAAAGTTGGTCAATTTTACTGTATTTTTTGCATAATTAATTAGGTAAAAACCCGAACGCATTTCTTCCTGCAACGATTACCATCTTTCCGGGCGCAAATCGCGCGCGCGTTGCTCGGAGGTGATTAGCAAGGGATATTTGGAGTTTGAGTAGCCAATCAGAGTGCGCCTATAATGCTACCCACTCTATATATACTCACATGACTGTTAGCCTTTAACTGACTGTACCAAAGATGTGTTACAGATGTTTCGCTGCACAATAATATTGCGTGACGAAGTAATATCATCCCTTATTTTCCTCTTCGTTTCGTGACCATCAAAATATTGACCACAAAGGAGTTAAAACATAGAAATGTTTGAGTTTACGCATTGTAAACGACTTACCGAGTTCAGGATTATCAGGGTACTTGGCCTTTCACGATTTTCCATCTAAAATTTGAACAACCAAACAAAAATTAGTTCCCAGAAATGAGGAATAACTCCATTACAACGTATTTTCGCTGAGCGAAATGAAAGACTTGGACGACACAAACAAACAAACAAACAAACAAACAGAATGTACAGTTTCTGCGAGCCATAAGTCATTCCTAAAATGGTTCAAAGGAGTTGGTTCCCTGAAAAAAAAGCAATTATAAATTCCACTATACAGCAATCAATGCCCAGCCCCTTCCGCCCTAAACCAGTTAGCCTGGCTCCATGTATGATTGTGGGTTGAGATTGCTTCTGATTGCTTTTGTGTTTTAAGTCTTGTCCTTACTTTCTAGGTGATTCTTCTTTTCTCCCCACCGAATTGAATTGCAAAGGAACATTTCTTGTAGGACGACTGTAATTAAGGAAAACTAGTCTTCGTAGGGCACAAATCTGGTCTTCATTGAAGAAAAAGAAAGGGGATTTGGCGGGGGCACTTTTCTTCGGTCTCTAGGGTATAGAGGCCGACTAGAAATCACTGTAATTTATTTAAAACCACGTTCTTACTACTTGGACTGAGCAGAATGTATTGTGCATATTTGAGAGAAATTACATTTCAAACACACACCTGGTGCACTGGTATCTTCATCTCTCATAGTATCCGTGACATTGTTGTCTGTGGTAAACCGACTCGTTACACTGCTGCGGAAACCACAGCTGGATGGCTCCGTGGTAGATGTGCTGGTGGCGTTTCCATCATCGGCAAAATCATACGGGAATCGGAGAGGTGCCGTCTCCCCAGGGTGATAGGAGCGTTTCTAAGGAAAAAAAAACGGAAATCGAACTTTTCGTCAAACAGGTGAAATCAATAGGTTGGGTGAGAAATTGGAATGAGAGAAAATGGAATAGTCTCGCGAATACGAACAGGGAGGGGAGGGAGAGTGCATGAATTGAAAAGTGGGAAAGAAGAAGGGGAAAAGAAAAAGGTTAGTTCACCCTTTCACCCTCAAGATCCAATTGAAAATTCTCTCCTCTTACCACGATGCATTTCCTTGAAAATTAGAGGGAAGGGTTTGGTATTACTTCAGAATGATATTCTCCGGCTGATAAGACTGACTGTTCTCATGACATGTTTACAAGATAACAAACTGGAACCTCAGGGAGAAGTTACATGTTGATCAAGTCTGAGAGTTAAAGAATGAAACGAAACCTACTTGTTTTATTTGTTGGTAAGTGACAATGAACTTTGAACCAACGTGACAAGCGGGAGAAGGATAACATTGTGGTACTCACAACGGAGATGAAAAAGTGAAAAATTGCAAAACAGTATTTCCTCAAACAAGCGGCTAT